ACAGGCTGTTGCTGAAGAGAAGAACCTCTCGTTACAGGTGATGAGAAGAGAACCTCCAAGCATCTCCCTTGGATTTTGGTTGGGTTGTGGTAGCTCTTCACAACCCGCTTTTAATTCTCTAGGGCTCTTGGTAATGTGAGATCTCTGGGAGATGTTCAGAAAAGTTTCCCTCTGCAGCCGATGCCCGAACTGCAAAGGCCTGGTTGGAGCACAACTGTTTTCAGCTCAGCATGTGTGAGAGTGTGTATTGCTGAAGATGGTTTTTTGCCAGGCTGTGTTCCTGGCTTTGGGAACGTGTTTCTTGAACCATCCTTATGGCTTTCTTGGCTAAGCGTCAAACCAAGAATGTCCCTGCACTAGATCATACTGCTTATTGCTCTTCTAGGCCACCTTGGTAACAATACATTAACGTCTCGGCAGGGAATGTGATAAACAAAGTAAAACTGCTTTAGTGAAACCAGTCATTTAATAGCAGCCTACATAAAGTGTCCTTAAAGATTTGTAAATGTAATAAGCTGCAGTTCATTGAGTGTACAATAACTGTTCCTAATTTAGCCAGTCAAGGAACATGCCAACCTAATTTGCTTTTGTAACATTATGTTGTTGGTTTTTTTTCTTTTCCAACCTCTCCAGATCCCTTTCTCTCTGGTACAGTTTCCCCTCTGGGAGTCCTTAAAGGTAAGTCCTCTTTAATTATAGAAATATAAGTTACACGTTTTGCAGAGGATTTCCATAGTAACTTATCTAACTTGATTATCACGATTATGGGCACATCCAAGTATCAGTAAGTATGTACCAACCTATCTGTGCATGTGAAGATTATTTGCCTGAATATCTGAAAAATAACAGGGAACATCTAACCACTGATATGTGGCACACAGTCTAAATTTTACTCCCCAGCATGCCAGAAATCTTATCTGCTACCCTAGCTATTTTTACTGATTAGAGTGGGAACCATCTTGTCTTCTGGTTCTTTTTTTATTTCATTTTAATTTTTTTAGCATTTCACTCTTCCAGGTAACAGGCAATTGCAAAAGATACAAAGAAAACTGACTGAGCCTGGGTTTGTAGACGGGGGAAACTCTCAGTGCTTTGCTGGCAAGCTATGTTGATGGGCTGCGTGTACGCTATTTCAACGGTCATTTAAAGGTGGTGTCAACTGGATGACATTTTAATAGTGCAGTCTTTCAGAACGATGTGCTGTTCTCCCACCAGCTGGTTGCTTTGTTTATCATGGACAGAGTCAGGGGTCTAGATTTTGGAGCACAGAGTTGGATTTGAACTCATGCAATTTCTCTGTCCCTCTGTTTTTTCCTTTAGCTCACTGCAAAAGGCAGGGTTTTTCAGGTGCTTTGAGATCCTGGCTTGAAAGACAGAAAATTATTGCAGATCATTGAAAGCATTGTAGCAAAATATAATATTTATGTAGGAGCTGGAGAGAGAGTAATTTTCTTGTTGTTAAGGGTGCTGGACTTCTGAGAAAGCTTGGCACTGAGACCCAAACTAGGAAGAGCTACTGGGAAGGATGGGAACTGGTGATGATCTTCCTTGCCCCTTGCTGGTTCTATTGAGGGAGGAGGGTTTATGTTCTCCTTGGTCCATGCTTGGTTGGAACAATAGCTTGTCCCCTCGCTATGTGTCAGTAGCTTGGGTTGCTCTGGAGGGACGAGTCCACAGCGTGAATGTTTGCATCTAGAAGCTTCAGGGAGTCAAATATAAAGGGGAGTCCGCAGACGGGAGGAGCGTGAAATACACCAAGAGCTTTCACAGAACTGAGCTGTGTTTTGCAGAGGATTCCGTAGGAACTTCATGAGCTTGGTCTGATGCGGTGTCTGGGTATCGTCCCATTGCACAGGGTAGCTTTGGCTGCCTTATTAGGAATCTCTTCCCCTGCCAGTGTCTAAGGAATGGCTTTCTGTAAACTCTTCAGCAGCGATACTGGCCTGACCTGCTAATTGTTAATGCAGCAGCCATGTTTGGGAGCAAGAGGTGGCAGTGCTTAAAGACAAAAAGTGCAGTGTTCTTGCCAAAACCACATAAAGCAGCCGCATCGTGTAGCTGTTTTCAGACTGTACAGTTATTTTAACTAATGTCCACGTAGCTGTGACAAGAAAATGTATTGTTTAGATTGCAGGCTCTAAAGAAGACAGTTTGAATTTAGCTAGCTACAGGAGTGAGTCACTCTAGGATGAGACATCATGTTTAATCTAAAGAAGTCAGTGCAGATCTGAAGAGAAACAAAACTGGGTTAGTTTGTTCCATGGACCAGCTGCAATTTATTCTTCTGACTGTGGAACCAAAAGTAGAAAATGGCAAAAATCAGTCTTGCATGCTCCAGTCACTTTGAGCACACGGAGAGAGCTCAAGGTTTGTCACATCAAAGCCAGGCAGTGAAAGCAGAATATGTTTTGTTCATCTGAATGAAGCTCTTAAAAGGAATTGCCCTGACAGTACAACAAAGGAGAAGAAATATTACGGTCCCATCAACAGGCTGGATGTGGCCGGTAGCATCAATAGGAGACCAGTTCAGGCTAGGGCTTCTCACGGGTGCGTGAAGAGACAGAGGTAGGAGTGCAAAGGACAAGAGACAAACGGTGTGCAGCCTGAGCACAGAAGAATTTACTGAAACTGTTGGTTAGATAATGGCTGAGGGACTGTTCTGCACTGTATTAATGGGATTACTTGAGAAAGTAAATGCGGGAGCAGTTGGGTATGATGTGTGTGGATCTTCTCACAGAGGAGAACAGGACAAGTGCTGTGGCTGTGTCATTTTTAAAACCATTAGTACAGAGTTACATAAGATGATGGATTATAGACTCAGTCTTGTAATTCCCTGAACAACCTAATCACCAGAAAAATGAGGAAAAATATCTTTCCATGGTAAAGGATAGCTAGCAAGGCACATGGAAGAAGAAGAGAGTTTCCTTTTCCTTCACTTATGTGCTAGCTGCAGCCAGCAGCAGGGTGTTAAGCTTAAAGAAGCCTGATAAAGGCTTGTCATAGGCAGAAAATCAGGTGTTTCTATATCCCATTTTTTTCTATCTGCTTTGCTCCAAGCTGCTATGGTTATTCTTTGTGCTTCCAGCGGGCTTTAGCCACAGTTTACATGCATAGTTTTCTTCTGTCTGTGAATGTAGACCAGCTGTCCTATGTGAGACTAAACTTGCATATCATGCACTAAACTAAGAAGAAGAGAGAACATTATATAGATTACTGAACTATAAGGTTACTTACACTGTGTGTGCTGGAAAAGGAGGTATTGCAGTAATTAGCAAGGAATAGATACTGTTTCAAATACTGGCTTTACCTCCAGTTACTCAGGTGAACACACATCTTAGAGACAGTTAATCGACTCATTTCTTAGGTCACAGTGACTCAAGAAACAACAGTAAAGAAATGATGGTGATTTTAGTAAAAAAGAAAACTACTTTTTTTTTTTTTTTTTGATGTAGGTAGCATCCACTGCTATATTGCATGCTTAATGTCCTTTCCCTTCCCAATTCTTCATTTTTCCGTGTTTTGATTTAGGCACAGATTATTGATACAAACCAAAGGGGAGGAGGAAACTGCTATGATGTATCGGATTTCAGGACGGGCATTGTAAATCTCTACCAGGATGAGTTAGTGTAGTGCTTCTCTGTCTTTTTAGCCCCAGCCTTACAGCTAAAACAATTTTGAAGTCTTCTCAGAGTTCAGGAAAAGAAGGGGCATTTCAAATTTCATTTGCTTTCTGCTATACCAACCCTCGGAGGAGCACCATGGCTGATTACCACTGTGGCAGTTTGATCAGGTTTAGGTTCTTTTAGGTGGGGCTAATGCTTCTGATCCCATCTCAAAGCCAGCTGGCCATGAAGAAAGACAGCAGAACATACTGGTGGTGTGCTTCCCAAATGCCAGCTGAGCACGCTGCCTTCTGTATTAGTTCAAGTTTTGGAATAATGTTCTAAGATACTGGTATGCTGCCCTGGAATTTTCAGGGTGCCTCTGTAACTTGCTTTGGAAATACTATATGTGTGTTCTTCATTGTGGGAATTTCAGATTACAGGGTCTGTGTATTTGGCATGAAATTGTGGTGGGTTACAGGGAGTCTGGGCAGCTCCCTTGCTTTCACCCTGCTGTCGGGGATGTGAGCCTCCACTCAGATGACTGTAGCACTGTGGAGTTCATCCCTTCTGTGTGATCTTCTCTTCTGCTCTGTTCAGGCATTTTATTCAGCACTTCTAATCATCTTATCTGAGTATCTACCAACAGCACATAAATGATTTATCATTTGTTTCATGTTGCGTTTTAATCCATAATTTGTCTCTTTTAGACCTAACTGAGAAAAAAGAAAACTTTAATTTCTGCTGTGGGGATATTGCAGAAATATAAGGCATCAGGGTTTGTTTTTTTTTTTTTTCCCAACAAAATGAAGTTTAGAAAACCCACACAAAATCAAGAGCCTCTGGTTAGGTTTGAGTGCAGAAACATCTTGTAAAAAATGCCTGCTTCTTATGTCTGAGTGGAAATGGTCAGCTCCCTCAGAGAACAGTGCTGCGTGTAAGATAAACCCGTTGCAGGTGAAACAAGACTCAGTCCTCTTGGGTTTTATATTTCTGCATGTTGGCTGCGCTTCAGAGTCTCTGAGAGTTACTCCAATGCAGCTGTACATGGAGAATGCTCTCTTTATAGACCAGATGTATTGTATATCTGGAGAAAAGGCTCTGGTAGCTGGTGAGGAGGGAAGGAACAGGCAGGATAGGAGGACATAGGTCTCAAATGAACAGACTTGAAAAATAAGGGGTTTTTTTGTTTGTTTGGTTGTTTTTTTAAAGAGGGGAAAAAAACCCTACTATCCTGGGAACCTTCTGTGTTTTTCACTAGACACGTCCGATTCTGAGATGAGACACTTGGACATTGCTAAGACTATATAACCTCAGTGTTGGGCTGACTTCACCGTGCAGACTTGTGTGTGCCAGCCTGCTCTTGCACACACAGCCTCTCTCGGAGCGCTGGCATAGACCGTGCTGGCCCATGACCTGCAAGGAAAGATAAAAATCTTGGATTGACCATGCTCAAGGCTCAAGGTTCTGGCTCCTCTGGCACTCAGCTGGGGCCAGGATTTCCCTCTTTGTCTCAGTGCTGGGCAAAACCTAAAGCTCTTAGACTTTCTGCAGCTATAGTGAGCCCATGTGGGTTTTTTGTCACTGGCTTTAGCAATAAGATAATTTTCTCAAATCTGTAAATCTCACAAATTAACAGGTGTTTTACAAAGAGAGATACTTGGTTGGACCTTCAGAGGCAATAGCTACAGACAGGGAGCTGGGAAACATGGGCAGGTATCTCCTGTAAGATTTTGTAATGACTGTGGTGGCATGTGATAGTGGTGTAAGATGCTGAACAAGGAGGAATGCTTTGGTGGCTTTAGGAGAAAAGAATGGTTTGAAGAGTACACACAGACACATTTCCACCCTGTGAAATAAGCAGGGCATTGCAGTAAAGAGTGGGGAGAGTTCAGCTGTTCCCCTGTGAAGCTGAGCAATAGCAGAAGGTTGGTTGGGTCAGAACAAAAGTTCCCCGTGTTGTTCCTAAACTGGTTTCTGCCCACACAATGGAGAGCAGGCTTGGGATTGGGCTTACACTTCCTTAGGCCCCTTGTTTTCTGTCCAGGTTCAGCTGCCACCCCAGGCCCAAGGCAC